AGCTTCAAGGGGGACTTAAGGGAGCTTAAAGGGGGCTTAAGGGGGCTTCAAGGGGCTTAAAGGGAGCTTAAAGGGGGCTTAAAGGAGGCTCAAAGGAGCTTTAAGGGGGGCTTTAAGGGGGCTAAAGGGAGGGTTCAAGGCATAAAGAGGCTTTAAGGGGGGCTCGGGGATAGGTTGAAGGAGGAGGGCTTAGGGCCAGGGGGGCTTAAGGGAGACTCTAACATTACTTCATCTTGAAGAGAGAAGGGATTTATTCTAAATTCCACCCTCGAATCTTGTTTTGTTTTTTGGATTTCGTTCTTTGAAACTAGAGAAGCGAGACTCAAACTTCCATTTGAAAAGAGAGAGAAAATTTGGAGGCATTCGCCGGAAGTTACCTGCCAAACCGCGACCCAAATTAAACATCTTTTTTGGCATCAAGACATTTCCTTCGAAGCCTTGATCGCTTGGAGTTGTGTGAAACCATAGCAGTTGCGCTCAAGCGCGCTAAGCAGTGCAATTCACTCGCTCTGCACTGTGTCCGATTTCACAAAAAGGGAAAAGCCTTGTTGTTTTCTTCCCAAGAATGTCTTCTTTCATCAAAAGGAAGCAAATGAAGAATGAAGCTGGACAATTTTTTCTTGCGTGTTCATGTTGCTATTCTGCAAGAAGAGAGCTGAACAAGTTCGAGAATAAGGGGTTTTCTTTTCCAAAGAGAAGCACTATTGTCCATTCCTTTTGTTTCCCTTCTACTGTGTCTTTCTCTGACTGAGAAAAGACGAGGCTGTTAAGATCACCAAAGGGACAGAGAAGTTTTTCCGCCTTTCTTATCTGTCCCTTTGATCTCAACAAAATCAGAACAGAAGACATACGAACTGGAGAGAAAGAAAGCAAATGACAGCGAATACGGGAAATCAACTCTTTAGAGGGGGAGAGGAGCCTTTGCATCAGACGAAAAAAACAGTTTCCGCCCATTTTTCCAATACGAGAAGAGAGTTCTAAAGCAAATAGCAAGCGCCACGTCTCTTTGAAACTACATCAAGCAAGCGCCACGTCTCTTTGAAACTACATCTTGCCAAATCCCAAATCGCAGCGCCGTGTTTCCTCGTTGCCCTTGTCAACAACTAGCGAAACGTAAAATGTCTTGTTATTCAAGACGACGAAGTAGAGGAGCTCTCTTCATTCCATTACAAGGTTGAGAGCAGGTAGAGCCTTTCCTATTGAAAGTGGGAAGAGGACCCCTCATCTCCTATTCAGTGAAAGAGTATCTCGTTCCTTCAAGAGGTAGGTACGAAGGACCTTTAGGAATAATGTGAGTAACCCTCTTTGTTAAAATAGAAAATCCCCCGAATTTAGAAAATAGAAAATCCCCCGATTTTAGATTTCAAAATAGAAAAACCCCCGATTTTGGATTTCAAAATCGAAATTCACCCGATATTAGATTTCTCCGATTTTTAGATTTCTAAAATTTCAAAGATTTGAAAGCGAGGGAAACTCCGGGGAAGTTTCGCAAGCCTTTTGCAACCTTTGAAATGTTTGAAATCTTTGAAATCTTTGAAATTCAAAATCGGGGGTTTTTAGATTTCAGAATAGAGAATCCCCCGGTTTTAGATTTTCAAAACAGAAAATCCACCGATTTTAGATTTCAAATAGAAAACACCGATTTTAGATTTCAAAACAGAAAATCCTCCGATTTTAGATTTCAAAACAGGAAATCCCCCGATTTTAGATTTCAAAGTTTCAAAGATTTCAAAGGTTGCAAAAAGGGGAAGACTCCCGGGAAGTTTCCCAAACCTTTTGGCAACCTTTGAAATCTTTGAAATCTTTGAGATCTTTGAAATTTAAAATCGGGAGATTTTAGATTTCAAAATAGAAAACCCCCAATTTTAGATTTCAAAATAGAAAATCCCCCGATTTTGGATTTCAAGATCGAAAATCCCCCGATTTCAGATTTCAAAAAGTTGCAAAAGGCGGGGAAGACTCCCGGGAAGTTTCCCAAACCTTTTGCAACCTTTGAAATCTTTGAAATCTTTAAAATCTTTGAAATTCAAAACCGGGTGATTTTTAGATTTCAAAATAGAAAATCTCCCGATTTTAGATTTGAAATAGAACATCCTCCGACTTTAGATTTCAAAATAGAAAATCACTCGATTTTAGATTTCAAAGGTTTCAAAGATTTCAAGGGTTGCAAAAGGAGATTTCAAACTAGAAAATCACCCGACTTTAGATTTCAAAATAGAAAATCCCTGGTTTTAAATTTCAAAATTTAAACTGCCCCTTCTGTCACACTGCAAAAACCCAAATCCCTCAATTTTTACATTTCAAAGATTTGAAAGATTTTCCAAGATTTCAAAGGTTGCAAAAGGTTTGGTAAACTTTCCGGGAGTTTTCTCCCGCCTCTTGCAACCTTTGAAATCTTAGAAATCTTTGAAATCTAAAATCGGGGGATTTCCTATTTTGAAATCTAAAAATCGGAGGATTTTCTGTTTGAAATCTAAAATCGGTGTTTTCTATTTGAAATCTAAAATCGGTGAATTTTCTATTTTGAAAATCTAAAACCGGGGGATTCTCGATTCTGAAATCTAAAAACCCCCCATTTTGAATTTCCAAGATTTCAAAGATTTCAAACATTTCAAAGGTTGCAAAAGGCTTGCGAAACTTCCCTGCAGTTTCCCTCGCTTTCAAATCTTTGAAATTTTAGAAATCTAAAAATCGGAGAAATCTAATATCGGGTGAATTTCTATTTTGAAATCCAAAATCGGGGGGGTTTTCTATTTTGAAATCTAAAATCGAGGGATTTTCTATTTTCTAAATTCGGGGGATTTTCTATTTTAAAACCCAAATCCCTCGATTTTACATTTCAAAGATTTGAAAGTTTTGAAGATTTCAAAGGTTGCAAAAGGTTTGGGAAACTTTCCGGGAGTTTCTCCCGCCTCTTGCAACTTTTGAAATCTTTAAAATTTAAAATCGGGGGATTTTTCATTTTGAAATCCTAAATCGGAGGCTTTTTCCATTTTTTAAATTAAAAATCGGGGACAGGGTAGTTTCCTTCGCGTCCCTCGGCGTGAGGGTGGTATGACGCGATGCCCAGCAGTAAAGAAGGAAATGTACGGCAGTCACACTTCAAGGTTTGTGGGTTGTGTAAAGTTTGACGGTAGGGGAAGTGTACGTGCAACCCTCTTCAGAGTATGAACCAACTTCTTTATTCCTTTGCGCCATTCCCAAGGGGTGCCTGGCATCATTGCAGGCAGCAAAAGCAGAGTGCCTTGGCGTTGTTGTTGCACTTCGCTCCGGAAGGCCGTGGGCTCACAAGAAGGGCGTGTTGGGTGCCACCGACAGCAGAAGGCTTTGCGCGCGGATGTGTGCAGGCTTATGAACCTTATCCGGGGCAGGTTTCCCTCGCTTGCCTGCGTAATTAAGCAATCTGGCTTCAGCAGGCTGTTGGACGTTTTTAACCAGCTTGTTTTCAATATTTTTAAGAATTTTTGAAGACTCTCGAACGTTTACAACACTTAAATTTGGTTGTGCTTATGATTTTTTTGGTACCATAGAAGATGACCGAGGCCACGTCCGGCAAATTAAATCAATCAACATGGTGGGAATTAAGAGAACTGAAGTTTGTACTTTTTAGACAAAACGCTATGTCAAGTGTTTTTGAGCTTTTTGCTTGCGCGAGTAGTGTGAGGTTTGTGCTTGGAGCCTCTTACGAGGTGTAGGATCGGTTCACTTTCCACGTTTTAAGGCAGGAACGTGTAAATCCATTGTTGTTCAGAAATTTCCTGTATTGTTTGTTAATCTAATGTTAGCAAGAAGATAAAGTTACACAAGATGTAAAATCATTCCAATAAGTAATAAGTATTTCGGTGTCACTTAAAAAAAAGTTGAATGTGATTTTTCCTAAACAATGTAGATCTATGAATAGGTAGTACAATTGGCTGCTAGATGCTGTTTGTTAATAGTTTCTAGATCAGTAGCAGATAAGAGTGATCAAAGATCCTCTTCCATGTCTGTTTGTCCGAGAGAAAGCTGTTTCGAGAGTGTTCAGCATTCTTAAAAAGATCAGACCGGTCTAGATACTTTTGATGCTAAAGATCACTACAAGAACAATAATGTTAAGAAAGTTCTGAAATCTTGAATATTTGTCAGAAAAATAACCCAGGTTTGGGTTTCGTGCCCAAGTGTGAATGTGGGGTTCCATGTGCATAAAAAAGAAAAAACTTGGTTTTCAGAATTTTCCAGCAACCTTAACCAGCCAAAGAAGAAAGCCAAAAAGGCTTGTTATCTTGCAAGGAAAAGACAAAAGGCCTGCTTTGCAGCAAGGACCCGATTTGTGCCTTGAGCCAAAATGGCTACGGTGCCTCTGCACTGACCACCTAATAACTCTCTTGCCGGCCACAGCAGTCGGCTGCAGGTTCACTCCCTTCACTTTTCTTGTCTGGACCCCCAATGGGCTTCATGTTTCCTTTGTTCTTGGGTTGGAGTGGGCCGCTGGGCTCGCATTGGGCTCCCTTATACAGTACTCCTTCATGTTTCCTTTCTCCTGGGTGGAATGGGTGTGCGAAGGGGCTGGGTTCATAAGCCGCAGCCCATCCAGGTGCCAAAGCTGGTTTAGGAATGTCTTTTGCTGCTTCCTGCTTTTTCTTGCAATTTTCTGGGCGGGCCGCGGGAGCACCCTTGTTTTAAGTTCTTGTCTAGCTGAGTCTAACTTCCTTTGGCAGCACCGGAGTCGGATCAAAGCTTGTCTCAGAGAGGGCATGATCCAATGTGTAAAATATTGCCTAATGCCTAAACATCTTTTTCGCAGCATCTGCTGGCGAAGCCGTGCACTGCAGCTGCAATATTGACCTTACACTTCACTTTTGGGGTATAGGGTGTGGGTTTTGTTTTTCCGCATGTGGGTATTGGATTTAGGCTTTGTCGAGGAAGGGTGGGGGGTTGGCATCCGACACAAATGCGCGAATCCCGGCAAATTATACATTGGTTTTTAACCAGAAGGCTGTTAATTTTCCTGCCTCCTGGTGATGAAGTTGGGCTGCGCGCTGTTGCTGGTGCGCTCGGCGGCGTTCAATGAGCCTGTTGATAACAAAAATGCCTCGGCCTGAGTGATTGGCTTTTTCAACAAGTCTGTCAACTGCATGTGCCGGATTCGGCCACAAGTTGAGCAATGTTGCAATTCAGGACAAGCTGCGACTAGATTTGATCAAAGGCAAGGATGAGATTACATAACCTAGCCACAGAAGATTACGGCTACGTCTTTGGCATTTTCTTTCATCAACTGGTTGGCCGAAGCGTGTGGTCAGCCAATCATATTTCTCCGTGCAAAGATGCCCATGAGAGGCGACAGTAGAATCATGGAAAGTCTCAGAACCGGTCTTGGGGTGGAGGGGTAGTGCAAACTTGTGCAAACTGCAGTGATCATGTTGCGAAGGGTTTTCGAATTCCACCACCCAGGTCCTGACGATGTTTCGACACATGGAGGCGGCCCCAGAGATGTGGAAGATGCAGAGTGTTTGGTTTGTTTGATGTTGGATGCTGCCACAAAGGTGGTTAATCAGCCATCCTCTGACAATATCTTCATTCCCCATTGCCTAGTCTGCTAGATAAGGCTTCCTTTCGGTCTGCTTACACCCTTCGCACGAGATCGCAGTGCCAGGGGTGGCGCTGCAAAACGCGCATGTTCAGCGCCTTGCATCTGCCGGATCATCTAGAGATGGTGGAGAAAGTCCAGCAGGCGAGACCGAGGGTGTTCCTTCAACTGGGATCGCAGACTGCTGCCTCCAGAGGGCTGCATGCATGGAGTATCATTTCAAGTCATTTCATTGGCGTGAGGCATCTGTGTGGTGCAGCCACCATCCTGGTTGCTATGGGGTGCAGTTCTACAATGCGGGGCCAGAGGACGTATCGGTCTTCGGCTTTTTGGGTTGCAAGTTTGCAAAGTGCCTCCTTCCAGCTCCAGCGCAATCCCGAGAAAGCAGTTTGGGGTTTAGGGTTCAGGGTTCGCAGTTCTATTCAAGGTTTTGTTCAGGGTTGAGTTTCGGGTTTAGGCTTTGGCGTTTAGGGTAACCTGCCTCTTTCCCTCCCTGCCTCCTGTCCTCTTTCCCCCCCTTGCCGAGTATCCCCCCCCGAATCCCCGGTGAAGCCAGCCTGCAGTGAGTATCCCTGGAGTGCCCGCCACCGAGAGACCTTGCCGAGTACAGGGAGGCCACAGAGTGAGCCCCGCCCAGCATCCGGGGGTACTACATACTGTCAACGTACTACTGAAGAGAAGGAAGCAATTCCGAGGCGATGGGGCGGCAAGGCTTCTTGGAGGGTGGGTGGGACATTCGACTGTATGGGGAAGAGATTGGGTGGGGTTCCTGTGGTGCAAGGCCCCGGTGGATTTTTGGTTGCATTTGCTTTTTTGTGGAATCGAAGAATCCCCACTCCTGGCACCCTGATGGGACAACACGTCCACCAACAAGTGGCACAGATGGAACCATTCGGCATCCGAAAGCATTTTGGATTGTTGTTGCTTTGACACTGCCGGCATTGCCATATCCCAGGGTTCGCAGTTCTATTCAAGGTTTTGTTCAGGGTTGAGTTTCGGGTTAAGGCTTTGGCGTTTAGGGTAACCTGCCTCCTTCCCTCCCTGCCTCCTGTCCTCTTTCCCCCCCTTGCCGAGTATCCCCCCCAGAAAGAAGCATGCAACGAGTCTGTCCTGCAGTGCCCATCCCCGGTGAAGCCAGCCTGCAGTGAGTATCCCTAGAGTGCCCGCCACCGAGAGACCTTGCCGAGTACAGGGAGGCCACAGAGTGAGCCCCGCCCAGCATCCGGGGGTACTACATACTGTCAACGTACTACTGAAGAAAAGAAAGCAATTCCGAGGCGATGGGGCGGCAAGGCTTCTTGGAGGGTGGGTGGGACATTCGACTGTATGGGGAAGAGATTGGGTGGGGTTCCTGTGGTGCAAGGCCCCGGTGGATTTTTGGTTGCATTTGCTTTTTTGTGGAATCGAAGAATCCCCACTCCTGGGGAAACAAAGAACCGCACCCTGATGGGACAACACGTCCACCAACAAGTGGCACAGATGGAACCATTCGGCATCCGAAAGCATTTTGCATTGTGTTGTTGCTTTGACACTGCCGGCATTGCCATATCCCAGTGCCACCGGTCTCTGCAGTTTGTAGTCCCGTCCGGCACGCCCCGAACTTAGCCTTCAACCTTCAAGCCGAGCATTGATCTGCAGGAAGACTTCATGTACTGCTTGAAGTGGTGTGGTCAACCTCAGTGGTGCCTGGCACCCATTCTCGAAACGCATGCTGCAGTTTTTGTAATTGGGGCCTTTGGGGGGTTTGTCGACTTGTCGAATATACATTTGGAAGGTTCTGTATGGTCGTGACTCCAATCTCTAATGACCTTGGGAGCTGAAACTGAACAGTTCGAAAATGCGTTGTTTCCGCTCCCTTGGGAGCGAAAGCAGCTAGCTGGTTCAGTTCTGCAGAAGGGAAGCAAGTTGACACCTTTGAACACTCCGCCAAGCAAGTCCTCCGTGAGAGCATAATCCTCGATATCAGCAAATCCCACCAATGGGCCAAACCCTACACCTCAGGTTCTCAAGCGCCACGCAGTGGAACCCACAAGCCCCCTCAGAGACTCCGAGAATCATCCTGAACGCAAGAAAAGGAAGACTCCGAAGACGACGGGCTGAAGGCGGACGAGCTGGTTCAAGACAATCTGTTTTACTTGTTGGCCTGGAGCTTACTGGCAGTTATTGGTGGTTTCCGCTTGCTGAAGCGCCTGAAGCGAGGTCAAGCCTCGCCCGAGTTCTTTTAGCATGGCCCACCCCCTCACCAGCGAGCCGGCCAGGCGGGGCTTTGGGTATGATCCGCGGGCCGCGCTTGGGATGATATGTTCTCCTGCTGCAACAACAGCTGCCGCTTCAGCAAGGGATGCAACGAACTGTAGGGACAGGGAGGCAAGGATTTGGGGAATCGCAGTGACAGCTGTCCGCCGTGAGGACGCGTCATTCAGAGTGAACAATTCTGCAGCTGTCGCTTTCCAACAGCTGGCGGCAGTACCAAGCTGCCAGTTTGGTCCTTGGTTTCACACAGTTCCAAAAACGGCCAAAGACTTTACGAAGAGCCTGGGCATCACTCAACCGATTTTGTGCTCACTTCTACAGCGGTGGTGAAGGAACATAACCATCAAATGAAAGAAGGAAGAACGATCACAACAATCTTTACACCCCTACGCTTGTCTGCCCCAGATCAGCTCAACCACGTGAAAAAGTTCACACTGGATTTAGCGGAACTGATCCTTCAATATCCACCTATCATTCAACCAGCAAACGCATCTACGGCTCTGCAGTGCAGACGGAATCGCTTTCCCTCACAACGTCGGAGTTCGCAGGGAGAAATGAATTATCCTATAAGAAACTTAAGTTAAGCAGACGGCGCTTCAGGTTGAACTCCTTCAGGTTGAGCTCAAGCTGGTTATCATTGGCCCATTAAACAAACGAAAGCACAAGTGGAATGCAAGCACTCGTGGGCACCAGGTGGTCCTCAGGTTTTCGGCTCATACACGATAGACAATAATGTATACATATGGGTTGAAGATACTTCTAGGCCTTTTGAACTAGACTCTTGAAATGCAAGTGGTTTAGGAGTCACAGTATTTGTGAGGGTTTGAGATGCCTTTAAGCCTTTAATCTCGATTCCTTAATTCCACGTGGTTTTAGGAGAATCAATGTTTTGTTTGAGCATTTACTCGTAGGTTGCTTATAAGCAGCGGGTGAAGGGGGGGCGGGGTGGGAGGTTCATCCGGCTTGGCCAGGATGCGTGTTCCCCCCCACCACCCCACCGAATAGAAAACCCGTTGTTTTTTTTTTTATATCACCCTACCCTGCAAAGGCCGATGGCCCATTCCCTTGCATGGCAGACATGTACGCAAACATTGATCGGTTGAATGAATCACGTGCTTGACAAGTTTGAGAGCGACGCGGGCACACGGAAATGCCAAGGGTGTTGTTGTGAATTGGAAGGCGCACGATGTCCAGGCGAGAGGCACAAAACCTGAAGAACATCGAACAAGACGATAAGAGACCAAACGGAGGTTTTCCCATTCAAAAAGTAGAGGATATAGATGTAGTTCCAATACAGGATGGAGGTCAATAAAATACAATGTACAGAGGAAATTGGAGGTTTCCCTTGAAAAATGCAAAACATTGGAAACCCGGGATTCCTTTTTCGAGTCCAATGGGGCAGGTGCTCTCACGCCGGACGCGTGAGTCCGTGTTTCGATCCGCTCGCAAGGGAGGCCTGTCGGGCACACTCGCTTCTTGGCTTGATTTTGGACTCTGATTTTGCTAAGGTTTGGCGCGGAAACTTTTTGTAAGCCTGCAGTGACTCTTGAGCTTGAAAGTTCAGGTCGCGGATTTGGGGAGTGAGGATGGCATTGCTGCAGCCCAGGGAAGGAAACCAAGGAAGTGCGAGTGGGAGTGGCAAGTTGACACAGAGAGTGTCTATGAATATGAATATGTATTATGTATATGTAGATGAAGGATGGGGGCTTCTGTGTTACCGCAAAAAGAACACAACCTCTATTAAAGGACCTGAAAAGGGAACGATTTCTCAAGAAAAGCTTAATGCATTTGAGGGTTTGTAGTCTGTAGGTCTCAAATGTTCTTAAGGTATACTCCGCCTGCACAAGCAAGAAAGCGTAGCCGCGCAACATGACGCTCAGCCGGCTCCAGCATCCGACACATCCGACACCCTCCGGCCCACACCGGGTCGCCCCACGGATTCCTGTGAACATTTTTCGTGGTGAGCCTTTCGATTCTGTTCGTATTCGTGTGTAGTGAACGTCATTCTGCACATCAGGGCAGTTGTCATCCCGAAAAGGCTTCACGAGTAATGTTGTATCCTGATTAGTGTGCTCCCCCGGAATTGTGGAAAAAAAATCCAAAAATTATTCAGGGGGATCTATTTGAGGAGGACCCCCGGAATTGTGAAAAAAAATCGGGCGATGCAAAATTTCGGCGAGGCTGTCGAATGGTGTTGTCGTCCATAAATCGCTTCTGAACCGAGCCTGAGAGACCAAAGATCAAAAGTTTAAAGACTGAAACCTTGAGGCCTGAGGTTGTCGGGCCCTGAAATCTTCAGTCTCCAGGCCGGGCCCAGGGCTAAGATTTCCTTATTAAATTCTTTTGTACCGAGGCCGGGCAATCAAATTTCAAAGGGGGTAGTCCAGCAGCTGCCCGGATGCCGTATAATATAAAGTTTGCTCCCCCGGAATTATATTTTTTTTTGCAGGCTAGTTGGGTTTGGATCCAGAGGCCTAAGGGCTGAGGTTTCCTAAACCTTGAGGCCTGAGGTTGTCGGGCCCTGAAATCTTCAGCCTCCAGGCCAGACCTAAAACTAAGATTTCCTCATAAAATTCTTTTGTACCGAGGCCGGGCAATCAAAATTCAAAGGGGGTAGTCCAGCAGCTGCCCGGATGCCGTATAATATAAAAAGTTTGCTCCCCCGGAATATTTTTTTTTTGCGGGCTGGCTTGGTTGGGATAGATGGATCCCCTTTAAATTCATATAAACTCCATTGCGGCAGGGATGGGCGACCGCGTCGGAGTACGCACGAGTACGCCCGAGTACGCACGAGTACGCCCGAGTACGCACGAGTACGCCCGAGTACGCACGAGTACGCCCGAGTATGCACGAGTACGCCCGAGTACGCACGAGTACGCCCGAGTACGCCCGAGTACGCCCGAGTACGCACGAGTACGCACGAGTACGCACGAGTACGCCCGAGTACGCACGAGTACGCCCGAGTACGCACGAGTACGCACGAGTACGCCCGAGTACGCACGAGTACGCACGAGTACGCACGAGTACGCACGAGTACGCCCGAGTACGCCCGAGTACGCCCGAGTACGCCGAGTACGCCCGAGTACGCCCGAGTACGCTCGAGTACGCCCGAGTACCCCCGACTACGCACGAGTACGCACGAGTACGCACGATTACGCACGAGTACGCACGAGTTTGTTTCAAAGCATGTGCATACATTGTTGGAAATCCATCATGCGAAAGTCGTGTTTGCAAAATGCGGGGGGGGGGGGGCTCCCCAACCCTGCTTTATTTTTAGCCGCGCAAGCTTGCTTCAACGCATATGCATACATTTTCGGCAACCCATCATGCGAGCATCGTGTTTGCAAATGGGGGGGCTCCCCCCCCCCCAACCCCCCCGTTTTTTTTGAGCCAAGCAAGCTTGCTTCAAAGCATATGCCATATGCATACATTAAAATGTTGCAAATCCATCATGCCAGAATCGTGTTTGCAAATTTGGGGGCCTCGCCCCCCCCCCCCCACCCAACCTCCCCGCTTTATTCATACATTTTGAAAACCCATCATGCGAGAATCGTGTTTTGCAAATGGGAGGGGGGGGGGGGGGCTGCGCTCCCTCCCAATCCCCTCCTTTGTTAAAAGCCGCGCAAGCTGTCTTCAAAGCATATACATACATGCCGTTCGTTCGTGCAAGTCCAACAAAGTAAACCCTATATTTGTTACGTAAGAAAACCTCTACAGCAAACCTCTATGCGTCTCTCTGGTTGAGAAGCCCTATGTGTCCTTCGATTTTAAACCTCTTTTCCTTTTGTTTGGAAAACTCTTTCTGTTTCTGTTGGTAGTACAACCTCTATATAGTTTCTTGTGTATTGCATAGGCAAACCCTCTTTCCCCGCCTTCTATGGATAACCTCTATCTCCTTTCACTTTTAACATGGTAAAATCCTACCTTTCACGGACAAAACCCTAAGTTTCCTTGGTATTTGAATAGGAATACCCGCATTCCCTTTGTATGTTAAGAATAGAACCTGTATTTCCTTTGTACTCTATGCGGAAAACCTCTATTTCTTTAGATTTCAAGAGGAAAACCTCCATTCTCTTCGGATTTTGATGGGAAAACCGCTATTTTCTCTGGATGTTAACAGGAAAACCTCTTCTCTTTGGATTTTCATAGGAAAACCTCTATTTTCTTTGGATTTGAACAGGAAAACCTCTATTTTCTTTGGATTTCCTCTATCTTGCAATAGGGAGGCCCCCCCCCCAAAAAAAAAAAGGTTGAAAGGCAAAAAACAATTAAAATAATTCCTCGACCATAGGTTTACAGCAATGTAGACTTAGCAAGAACCCTGGATACCCTCACGCACGAGTTTTGACCATCTGCAGACTCCCAGCGACCTTTGCCACGAAAAGGATGGCCATAGCTTCTTGTGCGGAACCCAAGTTTGAAGCACACAGGTTTTTCCTTTATTGGCCTCAAGGGGTTTTGGAAGAACCCAAGTTTAAAACATACAGGTTTTTCCCCTTTTATCCTTAAAAGGCTTAGGCATTGCCTGGGTAGGCCCTTACAGGGGGTTAAAATGAAGACAGGGGGGGCGGGGGGGGGGCACCCAGCGCATACTTGGCGCATACCCGGGCACCCGGCGCATACCCAGCGCATACCCGGGCACCCGGCGCATGCCCGGGCACCCGGCGCATACCCGGCGCATACCCGGCGCATACCCGGCGCATACCCGGGCACCCGGCGCATACCCAGCGCATACCCGGGCACCCGGCGCATACCCGGCGGCGCATACCCGGGCACCCGGGCACCCGGCGCATACCCGGCGCATACCCGGCGCATACCCGGGCACCCGCGCATACCCGGGCGCATACCCGGGCACCCGGCGCATACCCGGCGCATACCCGGCGCATACCCGGGCACCCGGCGCATACCCGGACGGGCACCACCTACAATATTCGGGGTCGCTGTTTCCGTCCACTCTGATAAACTCATCCCTCTTAAAATCGTATGGATCCCTCTTAATTTCACATAGTCTCACCCCGTTTAGAATCATATGGATCCCTTTGACACTCATACGAGCTCATCCCTTTTAAAATCATATGGATCATATGGATCCCTTTTAAATTCATATAAACTCATCCCTTTTAAAATCATATAAAACCAGACCCCCCCCCACTAAAGAGCGGGATCCTTTCGTTGAGGGGGGGGGGGGGGGGCCACACTAATCAGCAGACAACATTACTCGCTGGGAGCCCAAAAGCAGCCGGCTGCTGCACTGACGAAGGCAAAGGCCAAGTGAAGAACTTCAGATACTGCCACAGGCGCTGCAAATCAAAGACAAGTCCAAACTATCACCTGTGAGAAAATTCACATCCCCGAGGGTGACATGCCCAGACCAAGCAAATACTCAGGAACGCATGCGAAGTCTAACGCCAGCTCACCAAACAGGAAGGTGCATTCCAACCATGCCGAGTCCAGTGCCGCGAGCATGAAGGCCAAACTCAGTTGCATCGAAAGGCAGCATCTGCACGTCCAGCGCCGGCCAGCACATCAGCTCCAAACGCCGAGGGGACATCCAGGCCGATCGGTCAGTGTTTGAAGTGCCAGGCAGGAGGGCTCTAGCAGAGAGCACAGTCAGCACTTGCTTCTAGTTCAAGCAGCCATTCCTACATTGCAACCTTCCGGCGCATCGGCACGGCGTGTGCTGCACCGTTCGTCCATCGGAGAAAATGCGGTCCGAATTCCGCACTTGCTTTCTCAAGCGAAGATTTGCTTTGAAATTGCTTCTTCTAGCTGCAGACAGAACAAACTAGTCAGGGAGAATTTTTAATAAGATTGAAGTTGCCGGCTTAGAGGATTCAAATTGTTTTTTTTGTGGCGTTTGGGCGGCTTGAGATTGCAGGCCACGCAGGCTACGGTGCAGGCGAAGGTTAGTTAGAGGCTAGTTTGGGCCTTCTAGGGTGGACGGCTTAGGTAATTAGGGTTGAACGCGGTTGATTAGACTTTCGCTTAGGGCTTGGGATGCTTAGGTCAATGGTTTGAGGGGCTTAAGGATTTGGTGTCTTTGAGGAGTGTGCGCGTGCCAGTATGCAAGCGAAAGTGCAGGGCCGGGTGCGAGCAGGAACTGCGCCAGAAACGGTTCACGCAGATGAAAGCGCGTAAGTGCACATGCATGGACATGAGAGTGCACGCAAGCAAGCATGCACACGAGCGTGCTGCACCGAGGCGACTATGCATACAAGCGATGGTGCATGCAAGCGAGCGCGGACAAAAGCAAGCATGCAAGCACGCAAGCATGTTATGCGGGTGCGCTTGTTTTTTTCAGTCACATCCTCACCGACAACACGTAGAAAGGAGAACCATGGTTGTCAGTAGCAAGCGCCCTGCCTGATGCTTGACGCCGGGGTGCCGAATACGTAGGCACACATTGTCATCATCATGATGGCACAAACAAGGCACTCCAGAGTCATCCTTTGTGCACATTGCTGGCACTGCTGAGGTTCCAACCTGGGCAGAGGGCTTTCGTGTTTGCGGATGACCTGCAACGCCCACCTGAATGGATGGACGAGCTGGAGGCCGGTAGCATGCGGTAGCTTCCGAAAATGGTTTAGATTGACAGGTCCTGAATCAAGTTGCAAAGTTGATGCTAGTGGCTGCTAGCACCTGGATTTCCGTCCAACGTCTTTCTGGCAACCCAACTCAGACCTCACAACTCAGAGCAGTGCCAGGAAACTGTTCCTAAGCGCCTACGGCGCCTGCGACCCTTTGCCCCTCAGATCCACACAACGTACCCTGAACCCCACACCCCTAGGTCCCTTGACAAAAATCTCCTCTCCTCCCCGGAAATAATCAAACCCAGCCTCGCAACCCACAGTAATGCCAGAACATCGCAACCCTGTACCCTGAACCCAACCTCTAAACAGTATTGCCTGCCCGCACCCCAGACGCCAAAAACTCAGTTCGGGTTTCGGGTTAAGCGTTCACAATTCAGGTTCCCGCGATGTTGTGGCTTGATCGACTAGTTGAAGGGAGCTGGCATACATGATGGTTGCATATGGTGAGGGAAGATTGTGGTAAAATTGTGGGGGCGGATGTTGCTATTTGATTCCCAGTTGTCCGACACTGATGTCGGATGGTTCGGGCGATTTGTGGGTTGCAGTAATGTACACAGCTCCCGGCTGATGACGGCAAGGGCCTGGGTTTATGAACAAGGTTTAGGGTGCAGGGTCTTGCTTGTACTTTGGTGGCTGTTCCAGTCACGTATCTCCTGGGGTTTATAATCTGCGTCTCTTGATGAACACCGTCTGTTGTTCAGCTCGGCAAACCGACTTCAGCCAGCAATGCTCGTCGTCTCGAGCATCAAAACGCACTAAACTCCGTGGAAATCCCCCGGCTTATTCGCAGACCGCGACAAAACAAGGTACCCGCCGGAAACGTGGAAATTGACCATGCGTCGGAAATCTTATGATTCAAGCCTCGTGCTCGGAAGGACTCCTACCTGTCACACTTGCAGAAGACGTGGGCGGAGCCTTTTGGTGTGGATGTGGTGCTAATTCTTCCAGCCGAGCCTTTGGCAGCTTGATGGCGACCCGGTCTTTTTGCATGACGTTCGAGGTTTGGGTCAGCTCGTGATTTGTGCGATGTGCCATGGGACCACATCAGGAAAATGGATGTTGAGTGGCCCTTCAGCACATCGCATTTATCTTAGAGTAACGCTCGGAAGTAGCAAGCGCTTAGAACCTTCATCGACCAGGGTGGAACTGACTCAGTGTGGAATGGTACAGCCCGCTTGTCACTAGGTATTGGTTCGTCCATGACACGTCCCTGCAAGAGAGGCACGACATCCAATTTCCGGGGTCCAAAGATCGACCCTGACGCAGATGGGTGCCTTGCCTTCCTTAGGCAGTCGGTTTGAATCCGTGCTTTATTCAAACATTCCTGGGGGCCAAACACCCTTGATGGTGATGGGGAGCAGGCGTACGGATCCTGGAGGTCCCTTGGATCCGCCCGGAGCTGGGCAAAGGCTCGACTGGCACGACTTGGGGACACTGTTGGGGACGGGCCTGCCACTTGCGTTGGTCATGGACTTTGCGATGAGAAGATGCTGACGCTTGTTGCCTTTGTAGTTCCACGGTCTTGCTCTTCATAAGTGAGACTCGCGTGCTTGTTCACGGTGTGGAGAGGCATTCCTCGCTGGGCGCAGCAAGTGTGGTGCTTGGGCCTCAATGCAGCAGAGTCGGAGGTCACAGAATAACCTAGGCATGTGAGGACCGAAGGCATGCTATCGCCAACATGCTGCATACAGTGTCTGTCGGTGCAAGACGCGCGAACTGCAATCCGGCAGCGACGCGTAACCATATTTTTTCTTGGGTAACCCTGGTGAGAACAATCGATGGCATGTGACAGCCCAGGCGTGAATCGCGATTTCTTCAAGCTCCATGCCCTCGGACTGGAGTACGACGCCATTATCTTCTATGACACGGATGTGCGCCTTGTATGCCTTTAAACTGCCAGGCGGAGTGTTGGCTTCAGGGTTCTGAGCCGGTCTGAGGGTCAAAGCCTTTAAAGCTCTCCTGTGTGTTGGGGGGGGGGTCCAGCTTGCTTCCCAACGGCATTACATCAGAAACGTGCCTAGCTGCTGATATGCAGGGTGGTTTCGGATCACAGAGCTGAACCCCCATGGCACCTAAAACGTGCACCGCGAGGTTCGTGAACCCACCGGATTTCTCGCACTTGGAGGCCGTGCCTCGGCTTCCTGGTTACAGTTTGGGGTTGGTGAGTCGAAGCCCACAAGGAGAAGGACCCCTGAGCCCTTATCGCCAGACCTTGTTCAAAAACCAAGCCAAGGTGTTCAACTGCGCTTACCAGGCTGGCTCTCGCAAGTCCGTTTGCTCCTGAGAACTGCTTTCGTGTGCTTCCATGAACTCCGAGCCGAAGGGGTAAAAGGGGTCGGTAAAATTCTTGATCTAAGTAAGATCCTAATCCAACAATTCTTCTCGCGACCTTGGAGGGCTACGTCCTTGCTTCGGCGCTCCACGGTGGCTTCGAGCCCTTCGGACTCCGCACAGAAGGAACCCAAAGTATCAGAAAACAAAGCATCCTTGACTGAAATATGCTGGCCTACACTTGTCCCCAGAGCATCCCCTGAGCACTCCTAGACCCTACGTGCACAAAATGTGATCCCAGAGTAAATTTCACAAAGAAGGAGCCAAAAAAAGGGGTTGCTGTCCAGAAACAGAGAATTCCCCAGAAATAGTGTAGCAGTCGTTGCCAAATTTCGAGGTGTTTTGGGGTTGTGACTTTTGGGTTGTTGAGTTGTAAGTGAACAGTGGGCAGAGGAATCAGTTGAGAATGGCAAGAAATTCATACAGGAATGCCGCGCTCTGGCAGCATCGTGGTTTATCTCGGTGCACACCGACACACCAAAGACCTTAAATTGGTCAGACAATCGTCGGACAAAGCAGCACGAAGAGTTTTGTTGGCGCGCTCGTGTTTTGGCACCCGTGAAGTCTTTGGCACCCTTCTGCGCCTGGGTCTGGGAGGCCTTAACAGCCACAGCGTGGACTTGAGTTGCAATGCTTTCCACACTTGGCCCTGACCCTTTCTGCCTGGAATGCCAGGCACAAGACAAAACACAACGTGCACTTTGCTGGGAGGCAAGTTGGGCTAGTTAAGCTAGGAACAGTTTACCAAACGATTTTGAAAGAAATTCAAGACCCTCAACCAAGGCCTCTCACCGTCGCCTTTTTTGCCCTGCGGCCCTCTCCGGCGCTGCTTCGAGCGGTTCAGCGCTTCTTACTGGCCCCTGCGCTCGCTTGGTTTTGGGGGTGTTTACGATGTCAGGACTTGGGATTGGTGGGCTTCGGGTTTAGGGGAGCGACCTGTCACCTTTATGGGCTGCCCCGAACTTAACTCCAACACTCGACCTTGCACCTCACATGTTCGATGTCTCGTGTTCCTAATTCAAGATGTGAAGCCCCTCCCAAAAAGCCAACATTCCGAAAGCGTATTTTCAGCCACTTTGCTCCCTGCCCGGCCCCTCAGAACTCCACCTTCGACGATGATGGCGCCTGGAACTGGGTGGGCTTCGGCCCTTGGGGCTGTCTGGATGGTGCTCTCTGTTTGGGTATAAGGATTTTACGGATGTTGCTCGGATGTCTGTGGTGTTTCGCATAATTTCAGGTGTGTATGTATATGGTGATTATGGTGGTTACGCAGGTACAGATGAGTGGTGTTTCCGGTCCTACCACGTCGGCGGCGAATGCGGGCAAGGCCGGGCAAGGCTCACGGGTTTGGGGTTCGAACACTTCGAGGTGCCCTTTTGGTGAAATCTGGGGTGTAATGGGTGTAATGGGTGTAGTATGGTCCACGGGTCTTCTGGGCTTGGGGCTCTAGGGTTCTTGGGTTGTAGGGTGATGCGGGGCTTGTGAAGGACAGAGGAGCAGCAGCCCTTCCTGAGGTTTGTTTTATGACTTGTTCTACCGGGCCGACCAGACCTTCTGGAAGCTTGCCTTGCACCACCATGGCCTGGACCCAACCCGAAATCCCAACGCGGAGTCTTTGTAAACTCCAAATCCTCCCAAAAACAATCCGAAAAAGGCACTGAAACCTCACAAGTTTATCATTTTGTTGCTTCGAGTTTCTGGTTCTGAGAGATTCGCACCGTGAGGGCAGTCACAGCCTTGGAGGGTTCTCGGAGCACTTTCCAGCACGGTGCTGAGCTCGATTTCCTTCCTTTCCAAATCACCTCTCGGCCTCACCAACATCCTGTGAATCCCAGCCCGCCCTGTGTGCGGGTGACGTGAACTCCTACTGCGGCAAACCCAAGAGTCCCCAAAACGCCCCAACACACCCGGAAACCCGGGCTGGGTGGCTTGGCCTGATCCCGCCTTCGCCCGAAGCTGAGGGCGGCTCTGGAGGCGGAGGCCGCGGTGAGGCGCACCATGTTTTCGAGTGTCGTGAAGTTGGGGTACAGTATTCGTAAACAGTAGCTATTGATCCTTTTGCAATTAACCGTGGATGTGGGCAAGAGCGTCCCAGCAGCAGTCACGGCATCTGTCCCTGGCCACATTGCCAAGTTGCCCTGCCTGCCGCGACCTCTGTCTGTCGCACATGCTGTCGAACCGGTGAGCTCAGCTCGGTCCTCTTGACTTTCGATGCTTTTCTAAAAGCAGCTGAAGCTGGAACAGACACCAGCCGCCGAAGTGGGAAGATCTCTGCAAGAACTGGGTGAGTAGCGGGGCCCCTTGGCAAGCCGTCCACGTCGACAAGGCCCATGGATATCACCATCTGGGAGCCAAGACGCCCAACCTTCCTCGCATAAACACCGAATGCATGCAGGCCTGCGGTATTTTAGGAAAAAGTGTTGTGCCTTCAGCTGCAACAAGTACGGGCGGTGCATGCCAATGAGGTGCAGACAGCAGAATTAGCGACTGTCTGGCAGGCTGACAACACATTCCGTGCATGATTCTGTCACTTCGTCAGCTCGATTAAGACAAGTGTGGTTTTTCATGGAGCGTCCGAAAGCCAGGGGATGCCAAGCTTCTCAAGCCTTGCCTGCACGGACAGGCCGATAGGGGTGATGCTGGATGGCTGCCTGGTTGCAGGAATGTTACAAGGCTGCTGGTCCTAGGTGCGCAGAGTCGTGGGCACCAAGTGAAGGGGCCGAGGATGTGTGCAAAATGGTGCAACGGTCATGTGTCGATTGCGCCTCAGGATGCATCTGGCTGTACGAGAACTCAGTGCGGGTTCCTGGATTTCCCACCGTCAGCACCTCAAGACAGACGTTGCATCACCATCGGCAGACCGAAACGAAGCTGCCTCGGAAATCCAGCACCAGCACAAGAGCAGCATAGGCGACTAAGCAAGCTTCGCCCGTGCACACATGTCCACGGCACTTCGCCCATCTGGCTTAGGTGCCCAATCCTTGCCCGGATATGGTTGCGTTGAATCGCTGCAATGACATCGTCGCATACCACAAGGCTGGTCACCGGTGTGCAGGGTATGTAGGATCAGTGCGAACCCATTCGGACCCAGCTTCTTGGAGCAGGTAATCGAGGGCCGCGGCTGTGCATCACCTGAGCTACTCGGAGCTGGCGCGCAGATGCTGAGGCCGGTTGAATCCGTGGATCATGGTGGTTCAGCGTTTGGGTAAGCCCTTTCACTATGCGATCAGAATTAACACATCAGAAGAAACAGGAGCTGCTTCAGGGTTTTCAGGATTTTCTGAGCCATTCGGTGTCTCTGGCTCTCGGGGCCCCTACAATCATTCTTATGAAACGCAGTGGCTTTCTCCCTGCGTCTGGAAGGCTGTACAGATCGGATGCAGATGACAGCCTCTACAACACGCACACCTCACCGACTTACCAATCTGAGATGGAGCTTGACAAAAAGATCAATAAGGGTGTTCATGTGCCGGAAGCTACTGGTCGCCATAAAACTTCACCAAGCTGGCGAACCTGTGCAAGACACATTGGCTGTCCTGTAGGCCCATGCAAGCATGCGCAAGCTTGATCGACACCGAGATTTGGTTCGGGAGGTTCACAGCGTGTGGGGCTTGCAGTCTGCGGTGTCCAAAGCGGGGGGGTTCGCACACAGCCATGCAGCACGTGTGCAATTGCTCCAACCGGTACCTGGTGCGTCCCTTGTGGTTCGAGCTGGCGCCAGCAGAACATAGCACATGCTCTGCTAATCGGGACACCATCGACTCCCAGACCCTAGTTCCAGCCTTGAGCCTTAAAGGGCCTTACTCAACCCCAGAATCGTCTTCAATGTCAGGCTGAAGTTGTTTGCCAGCCTCCCCTGCTCGGAGTTCCCGCTCCCCAAAGCCCCGACTCGGGCGCTTGACGCGCCGTGGAGACATCGTGTTCCAGAACTTGAGGTTTTTGAAGCCTGTAATCAAGGGGAGGCGTTCTAGGGCCTCGGGCAAGGGCCGCCATGGCCCCAAAGAAGGGGAAGAAGGACAAGGAGCAGAAGGATGCCAGGGACCCGGAGGTTCGTGAAGCACTTCTTTCGACCAAGAATTTTTTAAAGCCCGAACGGGAAACAGCGTTACGAAGCCGAATGCCTTTAAACCCACCGGAACACAGACGAAGCGCTTTACAGTTAAACGAAAACACCTTTGAGGCCGCGGTCGCCCCCAGCGTGAACTTATCGCCTGCCATGGCGGAGCTGCTGAACAAGCGGAGAGCTGAGCATTTTTTGTGGAGCTGTGGATGCTTGGGGTCAGGGTTCAAGATGTACCCATGTTCTGTGTTTTCACGTCCTGTGGCAGCATAGCATGCGCAGGCTGTCTGGGCCGCTAGAGTAAACCTTCCCCTCTCCGGCAGCTGCTGTCTCGAATGTCGCCAGGAAAATTCGAGAATTCGAAAAAAGCTCAGCAGAGGTGCCACCGACATGCCCGTGGCAAACAATGTGGGGTGTCAAGGATTGTATCATTTGGCTTTCTCCGAGCCCTCCTCGTGCAGAGGCAGGCCCAGATAGGAGTCTAGGAGTGGTAGGCAGGAAAGGGAGGTGTGTTTTGGCACGGTCAGCTCCTGAACCGTGCAAATAAGCTCAGTTTTGCAGGAGAACGAGAAGTCTCAGAAGGCTCAGAAAGGCAAAGCCCGAACCGCCGCCAAGAACAAGCTCAAAGAGGCAAGGTGGGGCACAAGTTGAAGATGCCCCAACGGGAAGACGTGGTTTGAAGAGCATCGTTTTCAAAGGGTTTCGGGACTTGCCAAGGTTGCAGTAGCTCTTGGTTTTCCAGCAGTTACGGTGGAGTGAACCTTTGGCGGCCAAGGACATTGCACTGTGGGGTTGGAATTTGCCATATGTCCACGTGGGTAGATTGCAACTCTCAAATATCAATTCCACACCGTCCAAAACCTAAAGCCTCCAACGCCCGAAGCCCTAAACTTTTCCAAGCCCAAAAGGCGTCTTTCTTGGCCCTGAGGTGAAGCAGATTGTCACTGGCTCCGCGGATGATGCAGAGAAGGCCATTGTTCCCGTTGTTGCCTGTTGTTCGCGTACTAGTGGATCCGTAACTGTTGGGACCAACCCCATGTCAGTCAACGATTGGATGAGTCGGTGATTGGGTTTGACATGTCAGTGTAGGGTAGGTTTGGGCTGGGGGGCTGTTTGTCTTGACTCATTTGTGGGCCCTCCGAAGCAGACACTGCATGTGTTCCTGTCCCGGTTTGCACAGCGTGACATCAAGAAGGGCCACGACAACTTCTTCTCTTGCGGAGTGCAGGACGGAAAAGTCGTTGCGACCGTATATGCTCCGGTCTTCTTCAACAAAGAGATCACAGGAAAGCCTTGTGAGACGCAGACGCAGGCTGAGTGCTCTGCGGCCCATGCGTTCTGGAAGAAGCTGACGTTGTTGAAGTGGAAGTGGGTACCACCAGCCCTAAACTACGATAAACAGCTACATGTACTTCGAATCACCTGCCCACCCGCCCCTGTTATGACCGCAGGTGTGATAGTGATAGGGAGCGAATATTCGGGCCAGATGGCACACTGTGGCGGCCATGGTTGGGACGATCAATGGTGGAAAGAAGGGGCGAGATTGCCTCGGACTTCGGGAGTTCATCACCTATCTTTGCAGCCAAAAGCGCCGCCAGCATCAGCCTGCACCTTCGGTTGCGCCTCCCTTGCAAGAACGAGCTCTGGTGACAGATACACAAACTATACAAGCAAAGAGAGTCGCGCTCTGGGGGGCATTAAAGTCTTCGGGTTTGAAGGCATGCAGGCGTGCAGTGTAGTCTTGTCTCGCCTTTCTCGGCTGCGCGAGGGCCGTCCACAAGAAGTTTTGCAAGAGGCGTGCGGCAAAAGTGCAGAGGAAGAAGCTATTATCCCTTTGCAATCAGCCGACTGACAGCACGCATATGCAGATGCTCCGCCGCGGCCACCTGGAATGACATTATCAAGGTGTTCAAGTACGTGGAGCTGTCAGCCGGAGTCTTTCTTCAAGCCGAAGGGATCTCCGAAAATGCACTGAGTGCAAAGTTGGCAGTTGAAGCTCCGGGCATGCTTGCCTGGCCCGACGGACGCTCCGAAGTGTGGAGGCTGCAGTTGTGGCGAAACCAGGCAGGCGTCCCAGGGCGCCCTGTTCTTGTCAGCCAGTGGCATGGTGGCGACGCCAAAGCGCTCGCTGCAGGCAGTGGCGCGGGCAAAATGGCTGATGTAGTTGATCTGCCTGAGAAGAGCAAACTAAATGGGCTTGGCTACGGCTCGCAAAGCCGACCATAGGAACAAACTTGGCCGAGCGGGCTGGCAAAGCCACGCTCGGGTGTTTGCGTGTAGTCGTCGGAGGGACGTTAACGCTGAGCGGGCCGTCAAAGCCACGCTCGGGGGTAGCTGGTGTAGCCTTGTGGCTTGGACAGTTGGACAGGCAGATGATGGTCACGCAGCCTTCCGCCGGAAGCCGAGATCATAATTGAGGCCGGCGCCGATTAGGGAACAGATTCGGCTTCGTTAACAGCAGCTAAGGCTATGACATGACAGGATCGTGCGAATGCTCACATTCATGGCGTGCCGCAGCCTCACGATTGTCGTTGTGTCGTCCACTGTCGGGTGCCCTCCCTCAGCCAGCACGTGTAGTGGCCGGAGGGGAGACTGGCGCCATGATGACAGATAGCGCCTGTCTACTGGCGCATGATCTTTGACGTGCACTGCTGCACATGTGCGGAAACGAGGGAGCTGCAGCAGTATCTCCTTTGGCGCCCGTTGCAATGCGTGCGTGCAGGCTTGACTGTGCCAGGCGTTTATCAGTGCTTGAAGGTCAGTGGTTGGCGGCGCCGCAGTGGTGAGCCAGACCATGAGGGAATACGAAGCAGGCAATGCCAGCACTATTTTCAACAACAGCAGTGCCTTCAATGAGACAACAGGCCCGCCATGGAAGCTGGGAGAGAAACGCAGCTCTTAAGTGAGTGGAGAGAGAGATTGGCCTGGACTTCAGTTCGAGGATGAGCTGCCATGAATCGATGGACGTTACCAGCGCAGCGTTGCGAGGGTCTTGCTAAAAAACTTCGCAAGACCAGCCCTGGGCCGTAATTACACTGACCAAGTTTCGCAGGTACGCCAGCTCAGCGTGGCCAGTGCAATAGCTCAAAACGTGCTGGATTTTTACCTTTCGCTGCACTGCTCCAATCAACAACTGCCGGACCTGCGCAGCAGAGCGGGTCGAAAGCACACCCCGCTCCTCCGCACTCCCGAAGCCTTCAGCGTCACCCTGCGTAGTCTTGCTCGCTGCAGCCGTGCAGCTAATTTCCGCTTGCGCCATAACCGCCGCCGTGACAGCGCAGCGCTCTACACTCGTAATCTTGTCCGCGTGAATTCCAATGTATGCGGCAAATGCGGCTGTAGCGTGCGCGTCGCAGACCAAGGACAGCCAAAAGTCATATGTCGCTTGGTGCAGCCCCGCCCGTGTTTGAGGGGGTTACAGGGTTGCAATGTCAGCCTGGCGCTCCTTTGTGGGAGCGGCCCACTGGCTGGACCCCCCGCAGCATCGGATTGCGGCTCCCAAGCGGTTCGAGCAGGTGTCACAGGGAGGGGGGGAACGTGGGAGAACAGATCCTGGCCTGCTTGATCTAGGCGCCTCTCGGCCGGGGGCCGAGGCATACTCTTATGACAGGGTTTTTGTGTGATAGAATGGTGCACAAAATGGCGAATGAACTGAGCGCGTGGGAAGTGTGTGAATCTGCATCATGTTCCTAATCCAATGTTCGACGTGAAAGGCAAAGAAGATCTATCAAACAGAACGTCTACATAATTAATGTCGCACTCACGACGTGTTTATGAGTGCACGAACAAGAAGACTGAATCCTGGTCCATTGACTGTTTACCTCTGTTGGTACGAGGTGAGTGAGTCTTGCCGGAGCTAGAGGCATGCACAAAAGCTTAAATCAGTCTTGGAACCCTCTTGTCACCTTAATGAAAGACACTTGTACCCTGTTCATTCATGCGTTTATCGTGCAGACCCACGGAACTGACCCCATCACCATTAACAGCACCCCAGCATGCCTTGTCAGATACAGCAGCTGGTCCAGCGTCTTGAGGCTGAAAACGAGGAGGTGCAGTGTGTGAGGGTTTCTGTGTGGTCTTATTCACGGTTTGCTTTGGATTGCCTATGCACGTGCGGCGTTTGTCCTTGAAAGCTCCTGCTCCGCACATTCGTAAAAACATATGGGCCAACTTGTTTGACTAAAGTTTGGGTTCACAGGTGTGCCCACAACCATCACTTGCATGTTGATAGTCTTAGTTTTTAGCGCCGATGCTCCTTCCGGTAAGCAGTTCCGAAAAGGCTCATCGGCCCGCCTTTTGACCCCAGAGTGGGCTCCTTTGCCAAATGAGTGTACGCCTCCCACACAGCACATCTATTCTCGGCGTGGGCAGTTCCGGCAAGCGACGACTTGGTGGGGGTCATGTCCAGTGGTTTGGCACTGACAAGGGCAGGCTCCCAACATTATCATGGGACGAGGTAGAGGGGGATGTGCCTTAACCCCGTTCTTAAGCAAAACCAGGGGTGGGCCCAAAACCACGAGTTTTTCCTGGCAGTGGTCTTCTTGACGCTGTATGGAAATGTGGGGTGAATCGGGGAGGCTGCGAGCCCCTACTCGCCGCTAAAATGAAGCAGAGATCAGTCCAAGCAAAGCCGAGTTGAGCACTTCAGTTCCTGACGCAATGAATAATGGGGGGCGGGGGAGCAACAGTCGATCATCCAAAGACAATAGAAGATGTCCGACATAATGGGAAAGAATTGCGCACAGTTTCCTGGCGAATGTTAGGAAGTCCTTGTTGCTACAAACGCTGCACTATGAGTTTGAGATTCTTCACTGATTCTTCGGTGCTTTGTCAACGTCTCCATATACTACAGTTGAGCTTTCAAATCCACCTGTTTGCCTCAATCCAATATGGCATCTTCATACCTCTATGCCCGTGAGCTGAACTCGGTGATGATAGACGGGGGCTAAAACTACGTGGTGGAGTGGGTCACCGGTTGCCTCGGAACGCATGCGTCCATTGCTGCAGGTTGCAGCTTGCAGCGCATTCTTGGGAATGTTGGCTGCCGCCCTCGTGGCAGTGTGCATTCAAGCGTGTTCGGGGCATTGTCGTGCTAAAGTGGCCTTCATCCGAAAAATAGTTGTCCATATTCTTGCTGTGCTTGCCACCTCCATACCTTCGAGAAACGTGTGGGAGGGGGGGGAACGGAACACATCGTTTCTCGACGGAACACGTGGCCGGACAGATTGGTGAACCAGGCATTCAGGTTTTTTGAAGGATTTAGACATAATCATTGCTTTGCCAAGAACGAGTTGGAACCCAGCGACATTTAGTGCATTACACGCCTGCTTCCTACACACCCTGTGCTCAAAGCGCTGAACCACATGGCCTTTCAAGCACTTGCTCGTTGCTCGAATCCAACCTCTGCAATACAGTTGGCTGAGGTGTCAACCCTCGTTCAGGAAGTCGAAGCCAGAACACAGGACGTGGACTCTTTTCTTTGTTGCCAGGTTGGTACAGGCAGTCGAGGGTGTAGCCCCTGGTTTGAGTGCCTTTCCTGCAGTTTTGGCAAAATTCGGGGGGGGTTGGGGTTTTGAAATGTGGGCAGTGCCTCAAGGGTGTAGAGGTTTGACGATTTTTCCTTGCGGGGCAAATGTTGAGGTGTTCAGGCGTCGGCTCAGGTGAAGGTTGAATGTCCAGGAGACCAATGCCAGCAGCTTCCCTCAGGGCATTGCATCCCGCCCTACCTTTGCCACACTGTGTGAGGAGCTGACAGACGTCGAGGAGAAAGCGGACGGTGTGCAGGTCCGGCGAGGGCACTTTCTATACATTCGCAAGGGCTGGGGAGGAGTGGATGGGAAACAAACGCTTTGCCAGCGCCCGATCAAGGTCGAGCTGTCAAAGTGCTTGGCCACAAAGTCGAAGCTCGAATCACTCCTGCGCCTGGAGCACGGGGTTGGTAGAGAAGAGGTTTTCGGTCGATCAGGGCTTGGGGATGGGGTTCCGGGTTGGAAGTTTCAATATGCGGGTTTGGCGGGCCATTAAATGGCTCGACCCGAAACTCCGAAAGCTACTTGCCTTCCCTGTTTCCGCTCAGATCCCACTTTGAGGTCAGCTCCAGCAGCAGACAAATGCCCTCAATGAGGAGAGGAGGCCAACCCAGCAACTGCCTTTCTAACAATTGTGGATTGTAGTATAAGGTATGTTTCGTGAGGCCAGCGGCGCTTGGAAGGTTGGAAGGTGCTCGTATTTCGTTTCCGGCCCAAGCCAGATGGCGCACGGCGTGTGTGAAGTTCCTTCAATGAAGGTTCTGACAAGGGGGAGGATGAACGAGCTGTCAAGAGAGTCCTCTGATGACTTTCAGCTCTTGGCCTCTCAACCTTGTTACGCTGGCCACAGACCCCTTGCCATGCGTGCCGTGCGGGGGCGTGAGCTTCCCACAAAGAAGTTTCCGTAGCAAAAGCATGGCATGTACAGCGGCGCAGAAGTTGCGAAACAGTAGGTACCACCCGCGCAGCAGCCACACAGCAGCCATCGAAACAGCAGCAACAGAAACAGCAACAGGTACATCCCAGTAGCAGTAAATTGCGCACACTGTTCTGTGAACCCAGCAATTGCCATGGCGCACTGATGGCTGCGTAGCATATGTAGCGACGTGTAGTGACTGTTGTTTGGGCTTTCTGGACCGCTTCGTGTGTCACCATGTACATTGGAGTCCGAGCTTCAGCATGACTTCAGTCACCAGATTGATCAAAAGATCCCCGCTACGCTGCTTCCAGCTCGGACTGCGACTGTTCTTTGCCGACGACAGCCCATAGCAGCTTTTAGTTTCACCCCCAATTGGCAGACATTGCTCGATCCTGGAGTAGGAGTCATGAAGCATCATAAGATGGATATGAGATAAATTTGAGGAGTTTTCGTTCTGAACTTTTGTTCGCCAAAGAAGCTCTAACAGATAATTCTCTTCTGCGCAATTGCATTTTTCTCCACAGACCAAGAATTTTGGTGCTGCACTGCCACCAGGCAATCTCTTCCCACGTTCTCGGAAGCTGCGCAAATCAGTGAAAGAAAGCTGCTCTACACCAAAGCATTCAAAAACCCCTAAAAGCACGCGCCAAGCCTGGAGTCCACCCTCAGTCCGTGCAGCCCCTAGTACAAACCCCGCTGACTCGGAGGAAGCTCACCGATGCAGAGAGGCAACGGCGTCAGGACTAGGGGGAGAGCCTGGAATACATGGAGTACACGGTAATACACATAAATGTGACGGTTTCAGAGTGGTTTGAGGCTTTGCAAGCCAGGTCTCGAGGATTTTCTCGGCTTTTGGGCTTCCCTGACTTGTGTTCTTTGCTTGTTCTGTTTCGGTTCGTTCATGGTTTTGAACCCCTTGGCTTTTGTCTTTTGGCTTCTGTGCGTGTTTTGAGAGGCTTCCAGGCCTTTGACTTTGCGAGTAGGGGATTGAGACATTCAAAAGGCAAAGCCCTGCGTTTGATCTGTTGTTGTTTCGGGCAAGAAGGCAAACCTCCGTGTCCTGTATCTTTGTATAGGAAAGCGGAAGCTTAAATCTTCCGTTCCCGTCGGTTTTGCTTTCCAACATTAACGAGGAATGCACATACAGAAGAGATTTAGTATTGAAGATCCAGAGGTTGTCTGGGCCACAATACCAGAGGCGCCCTCCAGTAAGCAGAGGCAGCTTGTCAGGGCCGAGGGCGCATCTGCTTCATGGACAAACAAATCTACAAAGGAAAATGTCCCCGAGCATGTTGTCTTCTCCACCACTCGCTTGAGCCCTTGCTGTGGAAGTACACAGATTATACAGAGTGGTTGCAATCGGAATCCATCAAAAATCATACAATTCCGTGAGCGGCCAGGATCTTGCGGACGAGTTCCAGCAAACCATCGCCGATGTCAAGAAGAAGATGGACCAGCAGGTAGCCACTTTTTGTTGCACAGACGTTTGGATCCTGAATTCTTGTTCCCGATGAAATGCCTACCGAGTGCAGTTCCAGGCGAGTGAGCGAAGCCGGCTTGCTCTGGAGAACGAGGCAGGCAGTGCAACGCACACGGATCGCCGCGCGCGAACTTCAGTTCGCTACACTGCTTTCGCTTTCTGTTGTTTCGAGTTTTGGTATGCAAAGCCTCATAGTCAAACCATAGTCAAACCCAAGCTCTCCCTAAGTTCCAAACCTAGCGCCCTCTGCTCGGCATGAGTGCAGCCCGGTTTGACAGGTACTCCGAACAAAGTTCAAGGAGTTCTTCGAGAAGTATGACCTGCAAGGGGCCTTGCCACGGGGACTTCTGTCACCCGAGGGTTAGCGCCTAACATCCATCAAGCTGGGCCAGACTGTACACCCAGGCGAGAAAAGGACCTGGCCGAGCAGCAGAAGACGCGCGAGGTGGAGGTAAAAGCTTTCGAGCAGAGGCCACACACTGGCTAGAGTTTAGGGCCTTATTTAAGGTCTGCAATGGTAGGTGTGGGTAAGGTTGCGGGTTTTCAGGGGCTACTGGTACGCCTACACATACTTGAAGCATGCTTCTGCTTCTGTCAGTGTTCATGGAGTAATACATGCGACTTGTTCAAGGCTTTGACTTCCATTGCATGGAGCTGTTCGTGGATGATTCGGTGAATTTCGCTGATACGATAGGACGAACAAGATACTGCTAGCACTGCTTATCGTCACCCGAGAAGGAAGGCTATTCGGCCTGTTGGCGATGGACCCCAAATCCGCAATTTTCATAGTCTTGCAGCCTGCCTCAGAACTTCTCCAAGTTTTACAACCCTGAAGTATCCTGAAGCATCCAGTGAAGTGAAACCAATCAACCGTCACGGAGCTCGCGACTGCTCAGGCTCACCGAAGCAGCCAGAGCCTATCGGATCGAGGCAGCTTGCGGTTTGTTTTTGGTTTGTTTCGGTGGCTGTTGCAGAGTACTGCAGGCATTTGCCCGGTTTGAGTGTTGCCGGGTTTGTAAGACTCTGTGGCAACAGCGGCAGAAGGCGAGGAGGGGTGGGTTGGTTCTGCGTGGTCAGTTCCAGCTGCGGACGTTTGAGACTGCTGTCCTTTGTGTGTTAAGTTGCCGCGAAGAGGCGGAGCGAGAACGCAAAGCAAAGATGGCGACTTGGCTTCATCCTTGACCGAATTGCACCTGAAGCCAATTTCACTCATCCCGACAATCCTCCAAGCGTCCAGACACCTCGCGACCCGGAACCCTTCAGGAAAACGAGCAGCTCACGCAGGCGGAACAGGCGGGTGCATTCAGAAGGGCAGAGTGTCACAAAGTGCATCAAAGTGCACAAGAGAAAGCTCAAGCCCCAAGCTTGTGAAAACATCCAAGTTTCATATTGCATGTGTATATATAGATGTGTATTCTTATATATGTGTATTTTTACTTATCGTTTTCACATTTTTCATTTCGTGAGGCCCTTCGGCAGCAGTTGCAGACCTACGGAACCAAGTTTTCCAACTTCCAGGCCCATAGTGCCAGAGGGCCCATGGCCTTAGAAGGTTTCGTGTCTTCAAACTCTACTGGACCTTAAAAAGGCATAGGATTTGAAGGTTGTCATGTCAGGGGCTGCTAGGCGCGAGTGTGCGATGGGTGGGGGACTGGGATCCTTCAGGAATGCGCGCTCGGGGGATGGCTGTGTGATTCTTCGTAATCCTTCACATGAACATCTTCACAGTGCACATGCTAGGGACTTTTCGGCTGCAGCTCCTAAACAGATTATTAAGTCATCCCAAGCTTCCAATATCTCCCACCCCTCAGCCGTGTCTGCGATTCAGGACTAAGGCATTAATCGCATAATTGGTGCCGCCTTGTGAGGCAATTGGGAATGTACTCTGCGACGTTCTTGATAGGGGCAGGCTGTCGAGATGCTTCTCCCGAGTTTAGGGCTTAGCAAGTTTCAGGTTTCAGCCTTCAGTCCCGGCTTTAGCCAGCCGAACCCCGCAACATGCACACAACATGGTGCGCTCATCATGCAATGCCGTAAGCTGCTTGCCAGGACGCTCTGTCGAAATCTGACAAAGCCCCGGGCTCAAACAAAGTGCAAGGAATCCTTTGCAATGCTCGCTTAGCCGCTTAGCTGCTTCCGCTTTCAAGCGTCGACATGTTTATGTTTCTGACTCATGAGTTCTTGTAGGAGGACTCGGGGTGCTGTGGCCCGCATAAAGCTCGAGCTTCACAAGCCCCCAGTCACTCCAAGTGAGTTCCCCCAAGAGAGGTGCTTGGGCAATACAAGCGGCAGAAAGGCCGAATGCAAAGACGGACCGAGGCCGAGTCATTGAAGATGAAGAGCTTAAGAACCCTTAGTTTGGAGTCTGGGAAGTTGAGGGGTTCGAGTCGTTTTGTTTTTGCTTGGATGTTCAGGTCGCGGGTTGTCGCGATGTGACAAGTCAGGTCTCTGTCCAACCGGTTCAGATTTTAAGATTTGGGTCTCAGATTTGACGGAGTGCCAGTGGGCAGGTTCTCCAGAAAGAGAACGCGGAACTCCGCGTCCGCAACGAGCGAAAGGAGGCTCAGGTACTCAAGGCGGCCCTGCTGCAAATCATTGGGTGATGGGGTCTAGGATGTTTGTCCATCATCAATTCTGTCAGGCCGTGTTTGATCAGTTGATCTTCTAAGCATACACTATCCCCCCGAGAACGCATCAAAACAGCAGGAGGAGGTGCACTGCTTAGGCGTGTCTGGGATCAATACGAGGGCTTGCTCATTGCACCCGCCTTCTGCGTACACGGGCCAGGAGAGAGACGCCCTCGTCAAGGAGAAGGCGGACATGCAAGAGTCTACATCTCAGTGTGATTGCCTTGTCGCAGCGTCGCACATGTACCGGACTTTTGACGTGCCAAGGCGCTGCAAGGCTCTACAAGCTGAGCGGCAACAGCTGAGTGAACAGGCTGGCGTTTTCGGAGTCTTTCACTCGGTCCGGGTCGCTTGCGTTTGTATGTTGAATGCTGAGCCAATTTTCATGTTATTAAGTTGGCCTTCAGTGGTTTTGGAGATTCTGGGCAGTGTTTGCGCCTCCCAAGACAATTGGTGGGAATTCACTTCCCGAGATCGAAGGGCAGGACTTTGTATCGTTGCATGTCTGGGTCCCCCCATTTTGGTCACAATGCCGTTTCTGCGCAGCGCCAATTTGCCAACCAAATAGAAAACGTACAAGCACCCAACCATGCGCGCAGGTGCAAGCACTGAAAGCCTCGAACGGCAACGCCTGACCTGCCCAGTGCAGAAAAGTGCGTGCTTCAAGAATGATGGTTGGGTATGGATAACATGCAGCGTGATCCAAAAGCAAGCATGTGGGCGCTATTGTACTGTTTTCTACCACAGCTACTTTCCCCCCACCACCCCAACTTGAGCGTAGGAGAAAAGAAGTGCCCAAAGCCCATGAAGCGTCTCATACGATATACGTTTCAAAGTGTTGATCGACAATGTCTTGGAATAAGTGGACCCTTCAATTGTGTGGCAATATCCTTGCTACTCGGCGTTTTGCTTCGTTCGGATCGGGATTTTGTGCCATTGGGTCTGAAATGAAATGATTTGCTGCCACATTTTCTTAAAGAGGTTGAGGTCTGGGAATGTAATGGTCGCATGGTTTAGAAGGAAATGTTGTTTTTCTTTGGATGCAGTTCGATGGAAATGGCATCAAATTTATTTAGGAAGTGTTGTATGCTTGGATATATGATTCACGATGTGGCTCTCTATTTTAATCTAATATGGTCGTATTTAAGCCGGTCCTCCGATTTACATATAGAATATATGATGATTTATATTTGGATTATTGGAGATGAATTTTATTGAATTGATTTTAGAATATTATTGATGATGATATTAAAATATCCCCATAAAAGGCTACGTGCTCGACTCTTATTTTCGCTCTGCGGCCGCCTTGTCGGATGCTCCGCCTCTTCTTCCGGTCAATTTGGCTGCTCTTGGGGACCTTGCAGGGGAATCCGGAAAATTCCGGGAATTTTCAGGATTATTCTCCAAAAATCCTAGGAATTTTGGGAATCCCCGGGTTCAGGGTTTAAGGGTTTTACGGTTTAGGGTTTGGGGGGTTTTGTTTATGGTTTGGGTTTTGTCGGGTGGGGTGGGGGGTGGGTGGTTTTGGGGTGCTGAGGGGCTGGGGTTGTGGGGTTGCGTCTGAGGGGCTGGGGTTGAAAGGTTGGGGTTTTGGGAGGTTGCGTTTTTTTGCTTTTTGTTGAAATGGTTTGGGTTTTGTCGGGTGCGGTGGGGGGGTGGTTTTGGGGTGTTGAGTGGCTGGGTTGAGGGGCTGGAATTGAGGGATTGCGGCCGAGTGGGGCTGAAAGGCTGGGATTGGGGAGCGGTGTCGGGGGCTTGGATTGGGGTTGTAGTTGAGGGGTTGGGTTTGAGGTTGAGGAGTTGAGGAGGGATTTCTTAGGGGTTGTTTAGGGATTTGAAGGGAGGGATTATTGAAGGGAGGCATATGGTTGGAGAAGAGAGGGATTGGGGAGATTATTTAGGGATTATTGAGGGATATATGGGGCTATTGAGGGATTTCTTGCATTTTGTGGGGTTTTGTGGGATTTTGTGCAATTTTGTGGGTTTTATGAGATTATTTGGAGGGGGGATTTGGAATCGGGGCGGGTATTGGAATCGATAATTTTTTTCTATCTTCTAAAATCTTTGGATATATTATCTCAAATGAAAGGATGATTTTATTATATTTTCAATAATTATGGTCTCAATAATATTATGCGAGATGATTTATATAAAGAATAGATATTGAGATATTTGAGGAATAAAGATTTCGGGTATAGAATATGAAGGAATTAAAGGAGGATTTTTGATAAGATATTTTACAAATTTTGCGGTTTTTAAGGATATTCTATTTTGGATTTGATTATATATTCAAGTTCAAATTATCTACTCTATAAAACGCTACGGTCAAACCAGCCCTATGCGGTGCGTCACGCTTCGGAGCGCCCCAGCCCCAAAATTTTCCGGAAATTTCTGGACCCCGGCGAGCAAGCCGCTTTGGCCTACCCGGGACCCAAAATTTCCGGGAAATTTTGGGGCCTGGGCTATGCCCTTTGAAAGGCTGGGCCTCTTCGACGGCCGCAAGCCGGATTCGCTCCCCTAAATTTCTGGAAAATTTCTGGTTCCGGGTAGCCCGAAGCCTCGGTCCCTAAATTTCCGGAAAATTTGCTTCATCGCTTTCCTAAATTTCCCGAAAATTTACACACCCAAAATTTTCAGGAAATTTAGGAAACGGATGCAGCCTGATCATGTTCAGAAGCCACGGCCCAGCTCCCTAAATTTCCGGAAAATTTAGGGTGCTGGGTGGCCGAAAATGTCGAAGCATTGTTGACCGCTTGAACCGTTGAGTTCAGGTGTTGATCATTTGCCATGTTGCTGCATGCTTTCATTGCATGCTTTCATTGTTTTCAATCGTGCTTTGTTTTGTGGCATTACAAAGCTAAAATATTAAACAGGACTTTTACTTCACTTCCAAGATGAGCGCATCACCTGGCATTACCAGGATATTACGAGCGTGCTTTGTTTTATGGCATTACAAAGCGCATTACCTGGCATTACCAGGTCGTCGTCGTCGTCGTGCGTCGTCGTCGTCGTCGTCGTCGTCGTCGTCGTCGTCGTCGTCGTCGTCGTCGTCGTCGTCGTCGTCGTCGTCGTCGTCCGTCGTGCGTCGTCCGTCGTGCGTCGTCCGTCGTCGTCGTGCGTCGTGGGTCGTGGGTCGTCGTCGCGTCGTGCGTCGTGCGTCGTTCGTCGTCGTCGTCGTCGTCGTCGTCGTCGTCGTGGTCGTCGTCGGGTGTCGTCGTCGTCGTCGTCGGGCGTCGTGCGTCGTGCGTCGCGCGTCGTGGGTCGTGCGTCTTGCGACGTGCGTCGTGCGTCGTGCGTCGGGCGTCGGGCGTCGGACGTCTTTCGTCGGGTGTCGGGCGTCGGGCGTCGGGCGTCGGGCGTCGGCGTCGGGTGTCGTCGTCGTCGTCGGGCGTCGTCGTCGTCGTCGTCGTCGTGCGTCGTGCTTCGGGTGTCGCACGTCTCGCGCGTCGTGCGTCGTGTGCGGCGTCGTCGTCGTCGTGCGAAGTCGTCGTCACGTGTCGTCGTCGTGATGCGTCGTCGTCGTCGTTGCGCGCGTCGTCGTCGGCGTCGTCGCGCATCGTCGTCGTTGTTTTGTGTCGTGCGTCGCACGTCGATTCTATAAAATGTTACGGTCAACTTAGTCTTATACGATACGCTATACGAGTGTTCTAGTCCTAAAATTTTACGGAAATTTCTGGTTCTGGGTAGCCCGAAATTTCGGTTTCTAAATTTCCGGAAAATTTGCTTCATCATTTTCTTAAATTTTCAGAAAATGTATACGTCAAAAATTTTCAGGAAATTTACGTTAGCCACCTATATTGTAAATTTCATCTTAGATGCGAACGATATCTGCGTCCAAAAGCACCAATTATAGATCAACGAGAAAAAATCTACGAAGAATTTAGGAAATGGATGAACCCCTCTTATTTTGGATGCCCGTGTCTATGAAACAGAACGTGTATCATGATTAATCCATCTTTACGCAATATAGCCAATCTTCTTATCTTGGATGCCCGTGCTTTTGCTATATGAAACAAAGTATCTCTAACACATAGAGAACGGTTGCGGTCTTCTTATATTTCTTATATTGGAAGCTTTGTTGATGGATACCCGTGTTCCTGTTGTATGAAACCGAGCGTTTGTCATGGTCAAGCAGGTTCTATGCAGCAAAGGACGTGTCGTCGTGCGTCGTGCGCCGTCGTCGTCGTCTTGCGCGCCGCTGCTGGAAGCAGCGGGTCAGCTCTAGTATTTCGAAATATGGCGTAAGATTATAGGTCATAAATCTTCAATTGTAATTCTTAATTCTTTTCTTCAAATTACATTATTCCTTCAAATTCCTTCTAAATAAATTCGTGTGCACGTGCGTTAGGGCCTCGGATATCTATATAGAGATCTTATATTCCCACTTCTTCAAGGCGAGAAATGAACGTCTTCTTCCATTCAAAAAGCCGATTTTATCGTCGATAGAATCGACGGGTCCCCCCTATTAAGAAATTGATTTATATCATTGAAGATCATAAGATTTTATTATATAACTTCATGAGGATGATTTTTGATTTGATATATATATATATTATATTTCTTTTTTTCGGAATTTGGTTCAAGAATTCAAAATTTGCGAAAATAAGAATTTATATAACTTATATCTTTAAATCTTTAAAGATTAAAGAATTATATTTTTGAGGAATGAAAATATTTCTATGAAATTTATTCATTAATAGATAATTTATTTTTAAAGATATTATATGAGAAATAAGAATATGAAACCTAAGAATTAAGATAATGATTACAAATCCGCTTATTTATTAATTTATATATCGGATAGAAAAGAAGAGACCAAGTGGAGACCAAATAAAGACGACACTAATATCCTTTCATTACTGACATTATCATTGCCATAATAATGATCATCCACGACCCATCATATTTGCATTTCATTGAGTCGATGAATATTATCTTAATAAGGGAAATAATCGGGGTCATCTAGATGAATCTCCTTTATATTTCTTTTTTGGGTAATATTCCTCGTATTCTCTAGAAGAGGTATATTTCATATTTCATCTTTTTAGAATATTTGAAATTTTCCTATTTATATATTTAAATAAAGATTAGAGGGGACCCGTCGATTCCATCGACGACATATTCGCCTATTGAATGGAAGAAGAGGTACGCCAAAACTTTGAAGAAATACGGACAAATACAAGATCCTTTTAATTTCGGGATCCCTTTATAGAATTCTGAGAGCCTAATGTGCGAGCGTCAATAAGAACTCGAACGAATGATGAAGTGCGAAGGTAAGATTTAGGGATTGTCGCTTAAGACTTAGGATCTGGTTACCTGAAGGAACAAAGTGTTCAAATTCGAATCCGGAAATTGATTCTATAAATGAAATTCATCATCCATTATGTGCGCCTAACAAATGAAAGGGAATCCTCATCCACGAGAACAAGATGAATTTCGAATTCTCCAAGATATCTCGATATATTTAAAAATCCATCATCACCCCCAATTACAAGTCATCCCATACAGACGAAAAAAGAATAAGAAACATCGAAGATTCCTAAATACAAAGAATCAAGAATGAGACGAACCACCGATTCAAAAAAAATTCTAATGAGACGAAATATGATTCCAATCTCCTCCAATAATATCCATC